TCTTTAATCACTAACAATGGAGTCAACAGATCTGCAACATCAGTAACATGGAGGTTTTCCAAAACAGCATGCACATTATGGCTGTGCTGTGGCATCGGAGCGGATATAACATTGGGCTTCTCAGGAGCGTCAAATTCAACCTCTTTGGCGTCAATTAAGTCCTGAATTTTGTTCTTAAGTTCCCAACAATTATTGGTATCGTGCCCAACACTGTCGGAATGGTAAGCACACTTCGCGTTGGAGTGATAGTATGGAGAGGAGGTGTTAGGGTTTTTTGGCGCCTCTTTTAAACTGGTTAGATTTAACTTCAACAAATGGGGAAGGACCTGAGCGGGCGTCATATTGATGCGGGTGAACTGCCATTGTGGTCTTTCTACCCGTTGTTGATTAGGTCTCGACTGATTGTTACGAGGTTGATCATTTGACGAATTTTGAATCATCACGGCCCCTACAGTCGGCCGGCGCTCAGTTCTTCCCAATCCCTTCTGAGAATACACAGCAGATGCTTCCTTCTTGGCTGGGAAAGGTTTCTTAACAGTTGTGGATGCGGAAGCATCCTTTTGAATCTTTCCACTTTTAATACCGGCCTCCACCCTTTCACCGGTCAAAATCAGTTCAGTAAATCCCGCAGAAGAGCTCCCGATTAGATGGTTGAAGAAGGGGCCAGACAGGGTCCCTAGAAACATGTCAACTAATTCCCTATCTGATAGCGATGGCTGCACCCTTCCATCCAGATCACGCCACTTCTGGGCGTACTCCTTAAACCCTTCATTGGAAGCCATCCCCATACTTTGTAACTGAGTACGAGTGGGCGCTAAATCAACATTGTACTATTATCTCCAGCCATCCAGGATTCATCTATCCTTAGCAATGCAGCTCATCAGCTTACATGCGCATTCATTACATTCATATCATAAACATTGATATAACATATATTGCATCATACATTTCATGCAACATAACTTTGTGTTTAGCTAACATTTTGTCCTTTTCAGGATAAGAATAAAAGGCTATCATTAACAATTTCAGATGCAGTTTTACACGGACTCATCATCAGGAAACCCTACACCGGTTCCTTCTCAATTCAGATGCAGTTTTACACGGACTCATCATCAGGAAACCCTACACCGGTTCCTTCTCCATTCCAAGACTTCTGAAAACAGTTTACGGGTTCTCCAGACACGGATGTTAACCTATCGCTTGTTCAGATTCTTCAACTTCTGAAAATAGTTTATGGACGCTTCCCAACATGGATGCTAATCTATTGCTTATTCAACTTCAAGACCTCTGAAAACAGTTTACGGGTTCTTCAGACACGGATGTTAACCTATCGCTTGTTCAGATTCAAGACCTCTGAAAACAGTTTACGGGTTCTCCAGACACGGATGTTAACCTATCGCTTGTTCAGATTCCAAGACTTCTGAAAACAGTTTACGGATTCTCCAAATATGGATGTCAATCTATTGCTTATTCAAACCCCCAGTTCAAAGATGTTCCAAACAGGGACACCTTTCTGATACTCACCCACTCACCAACGACGTACAGTTCAACCAACATTTCCAGATGGCATCTCTAAGCCCATCCTCCTACCAGCAATTTCCAGATGGCATCTCTAAGCCCATCCCCCGACAAGATTCTGTCACACATTCCAGATGGCATCTACAAGCCCATCTCCAAATGGCATCTTTAAGCCCATTCCCCCAGCTACGTTTTGACGAGTGCAAATTTTTTGGGCAATCTAGTGTCCAATCTCCTTTTACCTTCGAGTCGCGAAAGGCAAACCTGCCAATCTAACTCTTCAGGTTCAAGAAGATTGAACAGGGGCAACTGTTGTACCCCAAAATTTGCCCTCCTCTTTTCCACAAGAAATCACAGCTTCGGGCTTTCCCTGATTTTTCAGATTGGCTTAAGAATCAGCCAAACAGACTTTTCTCATCAGTCAGATAAAATTAGGGTTTCCATTGACTTTTGAATCAAGTCAAACAGATTATCAGGGTTTTTATTAATTTGGTTGAGTTTGGCTCAGGGTTTGATCAGGCGGACGCTTCTTTGACAATAAATCAAGAATTAGGGTTTGCGCGCGCATTCTCAAAAGGAATTAATTCTACAGTTCTTTTCAATTGACTCTGGGACATGGGTTGAGGCTTCTGATTGGGAGTTTGAAGTATTGGTTTAGTCAGTGAAATGAAAGGCGTATGGACATTTGTTTTGATTGATTGTGCAATACATGTGGTTAATTGGGACGCCGGGTTTATTATTGATTAATGCGAAGTTGCAAGACTACAATGTTTATTAATTATTTATTTTATCTAAGTTAGAATAATTGGGATTTACTTCCAGTTATTTTAATTCAAGAAAACTTAAATAATTAAATAGATAGTGAAATAAAAGAGATATCTGACAAAAAGACTTTTATTTGTTTTTAATTATTGGTACAAGTGTTATTTAAATACAGTAATTATTTACAAGTATTTATAATAATATTTATTACAAATGATTAAAATAAAATAAAGCTATATCCTAATTTTCCTAAGTCTTCATCTTCTATTGCTGCTCCCCATTGCTCAACTGATTTTTATCTGCAAAGACAAAAAAAGAAAGAAGTCAGTACAGATGAATTTAAAAAAAACATTCTCAGGCAGTTAATCAAAACTCATCATTAAAAGTGTTGGCCAGAATCAGTTTGTTTGCCCTCTCTGCAAATCACAAGAGGATTCTTGGTTCACAAAGAGGGAAAGAAAATAATGTTGCAAGCATATGAATATGTACAAGGCTGCATAATTCCAAAACAAGTTGCAAAGTGTCAACAAAAATGCCAACCAAGCTGCAAAAATCCAAACTGAATTGCACTGTCAAACAAGGCAAACCAAACTAAGTCAAAATGGCCAACTAAGTCACAAGTTCAAGAACTGTCATAAAGCTGTCAACAAGTACACAAAATGCAGAAAATATGAAGAAAGAAGATATGCAGAGGAAAGAAACAATGCAAGCAACATATTCAAAATTGTCATCATTTCCCAGCCAAACTCTTTTTCAGAGAAAAGTACAGTCTAAGTAATATAATATACTTATCTGTGGAGAGAGAAAGGGAGGAAGAAGAGAGGCTTACAGTTTGCAGGCTTAAGGCTTAAGAGATATAAAAAAATAGAATCAACACTGTAAAGAGAGAGGCAGAATACACAAGAGATACCACAAACTGTTACATAACATAAACAAAAGCTTGCCTCAAGGAAACAAAAACAAACCACCAAGCTTACAAACAGCCTTCAAGCAACAAACTGCATCAACACATGCCTGAAACCTGTTACAAAGCAAGCCTGTAACAAACAAAAAGCCTCAAAAACATAGAAAACCTGTTAAAACTACTTCAAGCCTCATTGAAACAACCGGCTGAAAATCATCAAACAATGAAGTCGCCATCGAACGTCTTTTATCCCACATGTAGGGAAAGGTAAACATCGAGAAAACCTGATGAGGGAGAAGTCACGGTCTTGCGACCGAGAGATCGGGTAAGGGAGTCTGTTACGTGAGGGGAAGGTATTAGCACCCCACACGCCCGTAGTACTCTACGGTATCCACTCTTGTTATCTATCTTATGGGTGTGTTCAATCTATGCTTACTGTCTATTATACTACTGAAGGAATGCATGCAAAAGAAAAGAGAAAAGAATGTAGGGAAAATAAAATTATGCTCGCTTGGGCCCTACCCCAATGCCTACGTATCCTTTTTGAGGAATCAGAGCTATCGTAGTTCGGCTCATATGTTTTGTTTGTTTGTGTTTTTTATGGACGAAGTTAATTCCGCCTTCTGCCGCAGCTCGACCTTTGGAGACTTATGCGTTGGCACAGAAGTAAATTAATCGTGTCCTTACCTGAAAAGGGTTTTAAAGAAAAGTGCTCGAGCGCACAAAAGATTTGAATTTGTTTTGTATTTTTGTTGCAGATAATGACTGATTGACCTCAAGGGAGAGATATTAGCTATTTTTCTACTTAGTCATGAAAGGAGTTTTTGAGAATTGAACCACACCTAAGCTTGAGATGAAGAACAATAAGATCGAGAAGAGACCCACTTATCATTTCTCGTACTAAGCAAAAGTATGATTCTCATCAATAGTTTTAAAGTATTTTGAATTTTGAAAGAAAAGAAGTTTTTGTTTTAGATGCGTATGCGAAAGGAGAAAGAAAAGTCAAATGGGACTAGCTTACTTCTAAACCTAATGTTATTATGCGTTGGTAGCCATAAGATTTAGGTTAAAGGGGAAATTTCTACCTGATGTTAGCATGTTTGAATTGCGATAAAATACCGAAATGAAGGATAAAATAGGGTTGTGGCGATACCGAACGGAGAAGGTCCGTTGCCTCTTCAAAATTGTGCAAGCGGTAAGAAAATTCTACCAAAGTTCCCTTGGGCAAGTGATTGAAGAGTTCACCCCGAGCATTCCATATTGCAAGAGTTATGTCGATGCTATCACAAAAATTTTGACTAAAATGGCAATAAAAATGATTATCGAATATGAAAAATAAAATAGAAAAAATCTCATCGAAATTCTAAAAGGAATTCTATTCTAAAATATTCTATTATAAAATATTCTATTATTTTTATTTTCAATTGAGAGGAAAATTAAACTAGAAGAAAAACTAAAATAATAAAAAAGAAGAATTAGAAGAGTCAGGGGGTACAAGCTAGAATTCTGGAAGTATGTTGAAGTAGTCTGTTGCTAGGCCCAATCTAGAATCCATAACCCATTTTTGGTTCTTCAGCACTCCATTATGTCAAAAAAACGGGCCAATGGGCCAAGGGAAAGATGTTAGCAGCAATTGGATCCAAGACTTGTACGGACTTCATTTCAACATCATAAGATTTACATTATATTATCAGCATTATTTATTTATATTTACTTAGTTATTATTATTATTAATTTGAAATAAAAATATAAAGTAACAAAACAATTAAAATAAAAAAGGAAAAAGGCATATGAAATTAGAAAGGGAATTTTAGGGTTAGAAAAGAAAGTCTCTTCTTCTCTCGTGGCGAACAGAAGCGGCGCCGCCGGCCTTCCTTGCATTTTCTTCTCCATGATCAAATTGTTCTCCAATCCTAGCCAACAACGTATACAGCCAACTGGTATCAGATTTTCCCCTCTGATAGTTCGCAGTCCATTTCCCATCATTAGCACAAATGGGATCCTCCCATTTCGGTTCAATCTTATGCTTGAAACAATAGAAATCCGCTCCCACAACCAACTTACCAGGATGATGAACGTTATTGTAAATGCTCCAAAACTCTTCGACAGTGGAAAAAGTGTAGATGGGTCGCATTGAACTACCCCTAGAGGCTTGTTTGGATTTTGCTGTAGGAGTATCAAACCAGAAAGTCCAGGAATTCTCGAGGGGGTGAGATTGGTGGACGACGGGTTTGGAAGTGGCGGAGGAGTCGTCTTCATCGAGGATCTCTCCTTTTTCGAGATTGTTGTCGTCTTCGATGGCCCGATTAGGGTTTGCTGTGATTTGATCGTCGGTGATGATGGATTTTGGGATGCCTTCTACAACCATTTTTGCCCTCAATTTCCAATTACGAATGAGTTGGGGATTTACTCGTTTAGTGGTTTTAATGAAAGAATAGATGGTGAAGTTGATTCAAGTTTTGAGGATGGTGATGATTCTTCTGGGAAATTGAGAGGTAATCCAATCTTTTTTCTGTTGAAATCGTATCTATTTTGTCCATTGAAGATAGATTATCTTGTGCTAATTCTTTCACTGTTTCAAGAACAGCAGATCTTGCAGCCATTCCAAGACTAGCAGGAGATGCAGCATCACCCGGGTGAATCGATCCTGCTACTTTAGACACCTTGTTGGCTAAACTTGACGGATCAGTCCCCTCCAATGTGTCAATGGTCTTGCCATCCTTGAAGAAGACAAAGAAAGGAACAGCAGACACGGAATAAGCCTCGGATATCTCTAGCTGTTCTTCAGCTTCGACCTTTAAGAAATGGGTGTCAGGAAAATCAGTGGCCAAGTGAGAGAAGAGTTGGTCCATATGTTTAGAAGCTTCACACCATGACGCCCAGAAGTGAAGCACGACGGGAGAGCCACCGCTAACAACTTCATCCAACTCTGCTTTTGAGTTCACGTCTCGCACCGACCCGCCCATTCTACTACTCTTCGCTCTTGATGATGATGATGCATGAATATTGAAGATGTGGAGAGATGGTGTGATTCTTCTGGGAAGTTGAGAGGTAATCCCCCTTCTTTTTCTGTGTTGAATCACATATATATATATATATATATATATATATATATATATATATATATATATATATATATATATATATATATATATATATATATGTTCTCCATCTCTGGTTGTGAGCCCCTTTATGCATATGCTGGTAGTTTGTTTTTATAGTTAGGTGGTTAGGAGGTGGGAAAAAAAGTTGGTTATAGTTAGAAGTTAGGGAGAAGTTAGAAGTTTGTTATGTTATGTTGTTTTTTTATGAAAGCTGTTTTGGGTTTGTTAAGTTGGTTATGGATATGGTTGGGGTAATGCTGCAACTGTTTTTGGGTTTGTTAAGTTGGTTAATTGCGGTTAGGAGTTGGTTTGTTGTTTTCTGTTGCAGTAAGTTATTTTGCTATAAAATTTATGTGCAGGGCTGCCTTTAGAGAATGGTTAGGGAATTGGTTTTGGAAAATGGAAGTGTAGTGTATGCGGTTCATGCTTATGACAGTTTATCCAATATTTTGCAGGTTTGGTTCATATCAAGATGATGTGAAGTTGGAACAAAGGCGCATAACGCGAAGTTTTGGAAGCTTGAAGTTTGAAACATGGAGAATGATTTGAAAATTAGGATAGGTTTTGGTAAAAATGTATAGATGTTATGTATAATTGTAATGGAATTTGGACTTGTATGTATTTGAATAATTGTAATGTATGTTGAATTTATTCCCACATAATGAAATGGCCTTTGTATGAATTCAAATAAATGGTATGAATCCAAAATATTTGCAAGGTAACCAAAAGAGACATGAATCTTGAATTAATCCAAGAGAGGCTATTTGGACAATATTTTGATGGTTGGATGAATTTGATGCATGTTTTTTCCATACTTGTGGTTTGAATTCCAAGAAAAGCCACACAAATATTTAAGAACTTTGATTTCTCCAAATCCACTTTAAATATTCCAAATCCACTTCAAACATTGATGAATGAATTCTAATCAAACCACAGCTTCAGTGAACCCCTAATTCAATTCAATTTTCCGATCTAAACCAAATTTATGTGTCAAGCAACAAGCATTTGAAATAACGACACCTTGATCACAATCAACATCTTGTACCATGTCCCGATTATATGAGCACTAGAATAACGACGTCTTGGACCCCTTCTCAATAGATGATAATGACTATGCCCTGAGGGATTCTTTGCAGATGAATATGAAAGATGAGACATGTGAATACCTTGATATGGAATGAACCTCAGGTAGAACGCTGACAAGCTCAAATATAAAAATGTATAAACCCTGATTTTTAGCTTCGTCTCATAAAACCTTGCAACTTGACATTGAGAAGAAAAGAATAGCATCGTAGCTTGATGATGATAAGGTCCACGAAATGAAAACCTAGCTTCAAACGAATTATTAATGGAGAAATCAACCGAAACAAGCTTGTGCGAAGACGGGAGCCTTCAAAGTCATACAACAACCCTTATTCCTCGAAATCCATGATCTTATGCCAATTTATTGATTAATGATGCATGATGTGTTAGATGACCTAATGTGAGAAAAATGCAAAATGCGTAAGCCAGATAGGAAGTAAAAGGGTAGGACAAATTTGGGGTATTACAGCTGCCCCTATTTAATCGTCTTAAACCTGAAAGTACGATTGGCACATGCCTTTCGGAAATTCAAGGTTGAAGATGATTAAATATCAATGCCAAAAAATTTGTCCTGAGGGAGAAAGAGTGTTTTCTTTATATTTTTATTTTTGTGATCTGTCGGGGAAAAGAAATTTGTTTTTTAATGAAGAGACAAAGACTGGACTTGTAACGTGGCTTGACGCCAATGCAAGACAAATGGTTGGTATGAAAAGATAACAGACGAGGTCCACGGGCGACCTACGAACCGAGGGTGACACATGAGAGTGATTTGACAGAGAACCTAGCCAAAGGGCGATCTCAGGTTCGACGATGATTTTGAAGGAAGAACCTAGCCAAGAGGCGATCTCAGGTTCGACGATGATTTGAAGGAAGAACCCAGCCAAGAGGCGATCTCAGGTTCGACGATGATTTGAAGGAGGAACCTAGCCAAGAGGCAATCTCAGGTTCGACAAAGGTTTGAAGGAAGAGCCTAGCCAAGAGGCGATCTCAGGTTCGACAAAGATTTGAAGGAAGAACCTAGCCAAGAGGCGATCTCAGGTTCGACGATGATTTGAAGGAAGAACCTAGCCAAGAGGCGATCTCAGGTTCGACGATGATTTGGAGGAAGAACCTAGCCAAGAGGCGATCTCAGGTTTGACAAAGGTTTGAAGGAAGAACCTAGCCAAGAGGCGATCTCAGGTTCGACAAAGATTTGAAGGAAGAACCTAGCCAAGAGGCGATCTCAGGTTCGACAATGATTTGAAGGAAGAACCTAGCCAATAGGCGATCTCAGGTTCGACGAAGGAAACATGGGTTACGACACGATGATTGTTTAGATAAGCGATACGGACGAGCATCAAGAAAGGTTAAACACGGACGAGTGTTTGAATCAATACGGACGAGTATTGAAAGAAGATACGGGTGAGTATCAAAAGGTTAAACACGGACGAGTGTTTGGTTCAATACGGACGAGTATTGAAAAAAAAAGACACAGGTGAGTATCAAAAGTTTAAACACGGACGAGTGTGTGATTCAATACGGACGAGTATTGAAAGGAGATACGGACGAGTATCAAAAGTTAAACACGGACGAGTGTTTGATTCAATACGGACGAGTATTGAAAGAAGATACGGACGAGTATCAAAAGGTTACACACAGACGAGTGTTTGATTCAATACGGACGAGTATTGAAAGAAGATACGGACGAGTATCAAAAATTATAAACACGGACGAGTTTTTGATTCAATACGGACGAGTATTGAAAGAATATACGGACGAGTATCAAAAAGTATAAACACGGACGAGTGTTTGATTCAATACGGACGAGTATTGAAAGAAGATACGGACGAGTATCAAAAGTATAAACACGGACGAGTGCTTGATTCAATAAGGACGAGTATTGAAAGAAGATACGGACGAGTATCAAAAAGGTTAAACACGGACGAGTGTTTGATTCAATACGGATGAGTATTGAAAGAAGATACGGACGAGTATCAAAAAGTATAAACACGGACGAGTGTTTAGGAAACTTGACACATACGAGTGCTTAGGAATGGATACTGACGAGTGTTTAGGGAACCGACTACCAGACAAGAACTAGGTTTAGAACGGCAAAGTGTATTGATTTTGTTTGGCATTGAAAAGGTGAAGGTCACCGACTGGGAACTCTGAGCATGATACCCTCCTGTAGGGATGTATTGTTGTCCTTGAATAATTCAGGTCTTTCGTGTAAGGTACCTGGTCTGGCTTATGCTTTGTATGCATGTTTGAATTTCTTTTGACGCAAAGATCCACTCTGATGGATCAGCTACGCGCTTTTGAGGATGCAATGTTATGTAATGATAACTATATGCAATGCGAAGAAATAAACTTCAAGGGGATAAGAGTAGGCTTGCTGAGAACCATTGTTCATCACTGGGGACATCAATACATATCGACACTGGAAGTCCGTAGTACCAAAGATTGCTGGGGATACTGATAAAGATCTGCACTGGGGAGCCCATGATATCGAAGATTGTTGATGACTCCGCTGAAGACTAAATTGCTGACGAAAAGAGTCTTTAGGTACACTGCTGGATTCTGAATCGTACCGTTGGGAAGAGATAACCTGGCCAGACTTCCAAACATCCTGAACTATTGAGGGGGTGATATAAGTGAATATGCTGAAGAATGGATACTGAACACCATGTGGATCCCTTCGAATACATGTTCCAAGTTTACGCACACTAGGGAATTGTTTCTTGAATCACTTGGGGATAAGAGATGGGCGTGGACACCTACGAGTGCCCCGGTTGAACTCTGCGACTGCCCCGGTTTAGTTCTGCGAATGCCCCGGTCTAGCTCTGCGAATGCCTCGGTTTAGCTCTGCGAATGCCCCGGTTTAGCTTTACTGGGGATGCTCTTGATTAACTCCACTGAGGATGCACTTGCGCGTGTTGAGTAAAAAGAAGATTCTAGATTTTCTGAATTTATTTGGGGAATCAGAACCGAAGTTGTTTGTAGCAGATGAAGGCAGCTTTGTGCACTGGCTAGGTCAGGGTGACCGTTATGGTGCTTTTAGCTTGGTTCGTCTCATACAACATAATTGGCTTGAGCAACTTTGCAAGTACATATGAGGAATGCCCCAGATTCGGCTGAGCTTGGAGAGATTTACTCTCGACTTGATTCCCCCAGATTGGAAGTTTAAAGGGGATGCCCCAGA